TGGATTTCTTCAAGGGCCGGATCAGCATTGCAGTTCTCCACAGGCAGGTGGGGCCATGGGGGGAATAGGATGGACACATCCTGCAGCACTCTGCCAGCTGAAAACAGGCCACGGGAGACCCCATGGGGCCTCCACAGAGTCCGTTTTTGGTCTCCAGCAGCACTCTGATGGCCAAAAACAGGCCGCATGGTGGCATCTGCGTGACCCATTTTGGCCAGCAGAGTGCTGCAGGAGGCTGTGGAAGCCAAAATCGGGCCCCCGCACACGGCCCATTTTGACTGGCAGAGGCACCATGGGCCAGTCCTTTGATATTTCCAGGCCAGCCCAGTGGGCCGGATTTAATCGCCCCGCTACATCCGGCCCATGGCCCTTGAGTTTGACACCCCTGGTCTAGAGTATCAGCATTTTGGACTTTTGTATAGTTTTGAAGCCATGAGATTAATGAAACATAAATGTTCAGTTGCCCTTTTTTTTAATATTAAAAGAGTTTTTTGTTTTTGTTTTTTGTTCCTTGAAGTCTTGAAGTGTACAAGATTAGAAATAAAGTCTTGACAAACTATATTTTCTATTTATAGACTTTATATACATTTTGCCTAGAATACTGAAGAAAATCCTTTAGATTCCATTTTTCTGGTCTCTATTGTGGTTGGTTCTAATTATAAAACAAATATTTAGAGTCCAATATGCAACACTCCTTTTTCAGCATATAGAATAGCACTGTACGTGCCCTCATTAATACTGAACACTCGATTAAGTTGACTTTAAACTCTAAGAGCCCTAAGAACCCAATGAATATGCTGTAGGATGGATTACAATTTAATATTGTTTCCTAACATTTTAAGATGTTGATAGGGTTTTTTTCCCTTCATGATACCCTAAAATCATGAGTCAATGTTTCAAGCTCTAACCAGGCAAACCATTATAATTAGTTTTAATGGAATAAATTAGTCTGCAACTTAATATCAATTTGACAAAATCATGTGAGCATCTTTTTGCTGAATACAATATTATGCATATGACATTCTTCTATACTAAATGAATTTCTGCACTTCATTATGAATACCCTATGATGAAATCTAAGCATAATTTATTTTTCTCATAAGGAAATGGTTTCAAACAGGGGTGAAATGCTCCCGGTTCTGACCGGTTTGGCCGATCCGGTAGCGATGATGGTCAGTAGTTCAGAGAACCGGTAGCGATGGCATCTGGAGGCTCCGCCCACCCGCCTTAACCTCTGCAGCCCACTGGCCCCTCTTGCCCTTCTCTTTCTGGCTACAGGGCTTCTACTTGATGGGCCACTTCCCCACAGCACTTCTGCTGGTGCCACCACGCAAGCCTCCCATGAGGAAAAAGAGGGAAAAAGCAAAGCGGCTGGCTGCAGAGCTGCCAGCTTCAGGAAGTGGCCCAACAGGCAGAAGCAACATGCCCAGAAAGAGACTCCGGCCTTGCCCCGCCTTCTCACCACCTGCTCTCCCTTCACTTTGGGTCGGGGGCTGAGGCCCAGAGATGCGCCATTCACTGAAGCCCCGGAGCTGCTGCCTGCTCACTGCCTGCCTCAACCAGGTCGGGGAATGCACCATTCCCCGACTCCAGCCTTGCCAATGCTGGCTGGCTCCAGGGGATTATAAATGCTTCTCTGAGTGAAGGTGTCTTCCCCACCACCTTGAAAGAGGCAGTGATGAGGCCTCTCCTCAAGAAGCCTTCCCTGGACCCGGCAATGTTGGCAAATTATCATCCAGTCTCCAACTTTCGCTTCGTTGCGAAGGTTGTTGAGAGTGTGGTAGCGTGACAGTTCCCTCAGTACCTGGATGAATCGTCGTATCTGGATCCGTTCCAGTTGGGCTTCAGGCCTGGGTACAGCACAGAAACGGCATTGGTCGCGTTGGTTGATGATCTCTGGAGGGCTCGGGACAGGGGTTGTTCCTCTGTCCTGGTCCTATTAGACCTCTCAGTGGCTTTTGATACCATCGACCATGGTATCATGCTGCACCGGCTAGAGGAGTTAGGGGTGGGGGGCACCGTCTTACGGTGGTTCTCCTCCTTTCTCTCTGACCGGTCGCAATCCGTGTTGACAGGGGGGCAGAGGTCGACCCCAAGGCCCCTTGTATGTGGGATGCCACAAGGGTCGGTCCTCTCGCCCCTTCTGTTCAACATTTATGTGAAGCCGCTGGGTGAGATCATCCGTGGTTTCGGGGTGAAGTACCATCAGTACGCTGACGACACTCAGCTGTACATCTCCACCCCGGACCACCCCAACGATGCCCTTGAAGTGATGTCCCGGTGGCTGGAGGCCGTGCGGATCTGGATGGGGAGAAACAGACTCAGGCTCGTCCAAGACGGGTGGCTGTGGTTTCTGACATCCCGATATAGTCAGTTGGTGCCATCACTGACTATTGGAGGTGAGTCATTGGCCTCCACGGAGAGGGTTCGCAACTTGGGTGTCCTCCTGGACTCACGGCTGTCTTTGGAAGAGCACGTGACGGCCATGGCCAGGGGGCTTTTTATTTTATATGGTCACTCATGCTCTCATTACCTCCTGCCTGGACTACTGCAATGCTCTCTACATGGGGCTCCCCTTGAGGAGCACCCGGAGACTCCAGCTGGTCCAGAACGCGGCCGCGCGGGTGGTTATGGGAGCGGCGTGGCGCTCCCATGTGACCCCCCTCCTGCGCGAGCTGCACTGGCTCCCGGTGGTCTTCTGGGTGCGCTTCAAGGTTTTGGTTACCACTTTTACCGCTCTCCATGGCATCGGACCGGGGTATTTACGAGACCGCCTTCTGCTACCAATAGCTTCTCACCGACCAGTACGCTCCCATAGAGAGGGGCTTCTCAGGGTGCCGTCAGCAAAACAGTGTTGACTGGTGGCCCCCAGGGGGAGAGCCTTCTCTTTGGGGGCACCTACCATCTGGAACGAGCTCCCCCCAGAGATACGGAGGATCCCGGATCTGTGCATGTTTCGTCGTGCTCTCAAAACTTTTTTATTTCAGCAGGCTGGCCTGGCCTAACTCTTAAATTTTTAATTCATTTGATTTTATAAATTGGGTGTTTTAATCTGTGTTTCGGCCAAAATATTTAATAATTTTAAGGGACTTTTAATATTTGTATTATCTGTATTTTATTCTGGCTATTCACCGCCCTGAGTCCTCCGGGAGTAGGGCGGTATAGAAATTTTATTAATAAATAAATAATAAATAAATAAATCAGCTGTAGGGTGGCCCTTTGAAGCCGCGCGGCAAGAATTTAAATGGTTTGTTTCCCTCTAGCCATCAGCTGGGACTCAGGAGGCAGCAATAGATTGGGAGTGGGCGGGGTAAGCGAATGGTGACCGGCGATCCAACAGAGGTAGAGGATGAGGGTGAGTGAAGGCATGGGGGGGTGAGAGAGGGCTTTGGCGACCCCTGTGAAATGGCCGTTCGACCTCCAAAGGGGTCGTGACCCCCAGGTTGAGAACCGCTGCTCTAAAGTAAAGATCTATTAAATCTTGGTTATGTATTCATGTTAGTAATGTTTCCCTCTGCTATATGTTCCCTTTGTTTTCTTCACTTCCCTCCTTATATGTTCTTAAACAAAGAACTATCTAAAAATGTAAGCACCTGCTAACATCAATGAAAAACTGGAAACAGAAAAAATAGAAAGCAGGCAGTGACATCAATAAATGTAAAGTGTTAGCTTTTCATGTTAAATCAAAAGCATTTGCATAACTTTCTTCTAGCAACTTCTTAAACAATTGCTATCATGTTTGAAAGAAGCCAAAAACAATCTGTGCTTCAAAAGACATGATAAATCACAGATAGACTTTCCCTAGTTTGCTTGCCATACTCTCTTAGCAAATTGCCTATGTGGTAAAGCTTTTGGGGTTCCATATTTTTTATGCCACTCGGATGTTTAAGTACCAATGAGAACAAAATATTGTAAATACTTCAAAGCATACTTTAACATTCTCACCATGTGATCTCTAAACCATCAGAAATAGTTTAAGAGTGATATGTAATCATCCATACTTCAAAGCTGCTGTGCATCAGGAGGTCTTGCCCCAAACTTCTGCAGTAAAAAGAGGAACCACAGTGTCTCCAAACAACCATCCTAGTTTCATCGGGGCTTCAGCTGTTCTGCAGCTGAGATGGAAGTAAATCACTCAGTATTCCAAAACTGATGATGCTGTGGGATGACCATATTCTGGAGATGTTTTCAATTGGTGCAGATCCTTTACATGGATTTGTGATGAAACAAATGAATGCAGGATTGTAAAGGCCAAAGATAATATCTTCTGGGTACCTCTGTCGTTATTACTCCCAGCCTCTTTGAATCATTGTATTGTCCTTGTAAGGCCACCCCAGAAATCTGACAATGCATATACATTCTTTTTTAAAGAAAACATGAAAGAAAACATCACTTTTAAAAAAATAATTCACTCATGACAATTGCAAAAAAAAATTCTAAAAGAAAAAATAAAGATATTTGTAAAATTATTCTTCAGTGATTTTTCCCTTCCATAAAGTCCTATTACATATCAAGTTCCATGAATCAACACTCTTGGAAATGAAGGAATATAAACTGGATAAGGTTACATTAGGCTAGTTGTGCCGATTAACACACAGCAGGATCAAGTTCAGGTTGCATTGCTGATCCTTATACCATCTTTATTTGTCCTTGCAGTGTTACTGGCAAAAGGCCAGTGTTGCAGGCCTTTACATACAATGTTATTGTAATTAGGTTGGAGAAAGGTTCTTAAAATATTCCAACAGGAGCAACTGAGTGGCATTTGTCTGAAGATGACTGAAATGTTTCCCACTCAACAAGAATGTAAGCCAAACATCATGTGATATTTACTTCTCGGGCAGGAGAGCCCATTTATAGCCCATTACTAACCCATACCCCAATTATGGGTTAGTAATTTGTCTATTAAAGCATTTTGTTGTCGTTCTAAGAACTGGGAGAAAGGTAAAATGATGACCAGCTTTTGAAATATTGTTAAAGTCTTTCTCTATGTTATCTTCCAGGTGTCAGCTGTCAAGCTGCAAATCCAGAAAAAAAAACTCCTCAGACATTATTTTACCAAGAGTATAAACTTTACTGAATAAGTTGACATCCACATTGGCACAGAAGAAGCAAAACCAGCTCTGGGCTTCCCACATAAACACATGCATAGTTCATTTCCTCTTTCCCCACAGGCCACCCACAGTCCATTACATCCACCAATCACTTCTGTTCATTTTGCTTTGGGAACCAGCTGATTACGCTGTGGCATCTGCTCTGAGTGTTCTTGGGGGGGAGCAATGTCTCATGGAATCAATGATGCTTGGAGGCCATACTCCCAGCCTTGCATTCCAATCCACCCCTCCACCAGTCTTTGTCAAGCTGAGAGCAAAGCAGAATATAGGTGAAAGATTGAGTCAGTTCTGACATGCCAACCCCCCGAAAGAAGGGTAGACCTGAAACAACAGTAAACATATATACACATTATTACTTACAACCCAACTTCTGTCACATTCCTTATTAGGGACATTGAGGATACCTAGTGTGAAACTCTTAACTAACCTTGCAGCCCTAACATCTGGAGTAGCCACCCACTCAGCATCTACTAAAGGGTAGCCTTTTCACAGTAATTACTTGGTACTTTGTGATATTTGGAGTTGAGAATCCTTTTGATCTCATAGTGCTCCTCTCCCTTAACTAGGATGGGAGGAGGAAGTGGTTCTTTAACCGGCCTCAAGCCAGATCCCCAAAAGGGTTTTAAAAGATTGCAATGAAATACCGGATGCTTGCCTGAGGTTTCAGCTCCACCCTCAATGGATTCACGATCCAGATGATTTGGAAAGGCCCTATGTATTTGGGATCTAACTTTTTATAAGCTTGTCTCAGGTTTAGATACTTGGTGGACAAATAGACTATCCCACCCTCTAAATTCCCTTTGGGGACCCCTTTTCAAATCTGCTTGCCTTTTTTTGGCTTTCCCTAGCTTTATTTACACACAGCGGGCCACATGGCTTTTAGAGTGTCCATCCAGTCAGCTAATGACACTGAGGATGGAGCTTCCTGAGGGAGCTCTGGCATTGTCAGGTATGCCTCCTTTCAATACCCAAGAAAGAAAAACCCCGACTCCATTTTCATAGAGAAATGTACTTTTACTAAGTATGAACTGAATGCAACCAAAGAAAAGCAAGGTCTGAGGCAAAAGGAGCAAAAATTACATATAGAAAGCATCCCCAAAACCCTTCTTCCAACCGTCCAGCGAAAATTATCCAATCCACATTTCCCCCAGGGGTCATGTGGGGTGCAACGTCCGATGGTGCCATCCTCCTGCTCTGCCACAACAGTCGACCTTGAGTTGTTACCAGCTTCAAAGAAAACGCTGAAGAAAACTTTCTGCTCTTCTCCACCAGCTCACTTCCCCCCTCCCAGACATTCCAATAGCTCCCCCCTCCCCCCGTTACAATGGCAGCCGAGCAAGCAAGTAAAGAAAAAGTGGGCATGGGCAGGCATGGGCACAAATTCAGTCCCCGTGACCCTTTTGAAAGGGGTAAAACCAGGGGTGAAATGTTCCCAGATCGGACCAGACCGCCCAATCCGGTAGCAATTTTTCCCTGTGGTTCGGCGATCCAGTAGCAATCACCACCCAGGTGTCATTACTTCCTGGTTTTAACCAGGAAGTAATGTTTTTTTACTTTCTGTGCATGCGCAGAAGATATGAGTGCACATGCACGGCGCATGCGCTTCCGAACCAGTAAGGAAGGTAAGTAGATTTCACCCCTGGGTAAAACCTGTGCTGCTGTGCACCAAGTTGTTATATGCCACTTCTGTGAAAGGCAGGAGTTTGGCCCAATTAGTCTGCTGATAATTTATATAACAGTACAGGTATTGCACTGAGTTGGTACATTCAACTGCTCCATTGGTACTTGGATGGTAGATGGAGCTAAGTCCCTGGGAGGAGCCTATCAATTTTAAAAATTTCCACCAAAATTTTGCGGTGAATTGCACCCCCCCGTCTGAGATAATGCATTTTGGGACACCATGTAGTCTGTAGATGTGTTGCACAAACATCTTGTCTAGGGCTCGGGCAGAAGGAATCTTTGGACATGCCACAAAGTGTGCTTTGAAAACAGGTTGATGACAGTCCAAATTACTGTGTTCCCAGCACTCTCAGGCAATTCCATGATAAAGTCCATGGATATCTCCTCCCATGGATTACCTGGGTTGGCTACCAATGTAGCAAGCCTAGAGGCTTCCCAGGTAGGTGTTTCATGGAGGCACACACAGGACAGCTGACCACATAGGCTTCTATGTCCTTTTTCATATTCGGCCACCAGAACCATCTCTTCAACAGGTGAAGGATGTTTACAAACCCAAAATGCCCTGAGGATTTTGCATTGTGGCTCCTCTGCAGGACCAAAGTTTTCTGGCTGGCTGGGATGTACACTTTACTCCTATTCTATGCCAAGTCCTCCTTCACCTGTATGTCTCTGGAACCATTCATCCACCCCAAGGAATCTTTTAGTGGTTGCATTACTGAGTCCCCAGCCAGCTGTGGGGAGACTGTTTTCTGCTGCCTCAAGAGTGTTGGCACTGCAAGCTGCCTGGACAGCTTCCTCAGGGCCTTTAACACCTCCACATTCTTGTGGTCTGTCCACACTGCAAATGGAATCTTACTGCCCTCTAAAAACTGCCTCCAGGTGAGAAGAGCCCATTTGACTGTGTAAACCTCCTTCTCCCAATGGTCCACCACCTCTCAGTATCAGACAACTTGTGAGATATGTAGGCACATGGTTGCAACTTTCACTTTTCATTCCTCTGGAGTGAAACTCCCCCTCCTGCCACATCACAGGCATCCGACTTGATCACAAAAGGTTCATCTGGGTTTGGGTGCTTCAGGACTGCATCAGCAGCAAAGAGCCTCTTCAGTTTTTGAAGGCTGCCTGGCATTCGATGGACCAATTTAGTGACTGACTCGGTTTGGGCTTTGCTCCCCTTAAGTCTTGAGCAAGTTGGTGATGGGCAAGGCTATCTGGACAAATGTGAGGATGAACTGCTGGTAAAAGTTCATGAATCCCAGGAAACTCTGTAACTGCCTCCTGGTTCAAGTGGCTTCCCATTCCAGGATTGCTCTCCTCTTGGCTGGGTCCATCTCCACCCCATCCTTGGAGATGCGATATCCCAGGTAGTCTAAACTGGTCTTGTGGGAGTCACATTTAGATAGCTTTGCATATAGCATATTTGCATATTTGAGCAACTTCTCAAGTACTGCTTTCACTAGCCTGACGTGCTCTTCCATGATCTTGGTATAAATTAGGATGTCTTTCAAGTATACCAGCACCCCTTTGTACAGGTGTTCATGCAGAACCTCATTTACTAATTGCATGCATACTGCTGGCATCCCAGAGGGCAGTTGAATGCAGTTTTCCACTCATCCCCCTCTTTAATCCTCACTCAGTAATAAGTTAATCTTAGTAAAGATCTTCCCCTTGGCTAGGTAGTGTCAATTGTCCAACTAGTGTGCCCAAAACAAGAAAACACTCTCAGGAGCTTTGAATTCCCAAAAGTAAAACTTTATTGGATACACCATTTTGGTACTAAAAAAATCAAAACCAGCTCTGATTTTTCCACACAAATACTTGTCTAGTTAAACAATAGCTTACCTTTTTTCTCCCACCCCTGGATGATCACATTGTTCAATTATGAGATGTCTTTTTGTTATGAGAACAATCCACCTCCTTCTCAGGCACCTGTCGTTGTGACCTTGATGGTTGCCAGGCTCTCACGGTCCATGAACACTTTCTCAGCATTCCATTTCACCCTTCCCTCTCCCCAGTTTATTGACAAGTTGAGGTTTGAAAGAAGCAAAGTGCCAATCTTGACAGATAGTCCAGCATGTCCCTCATGAAGGGGAGGGGATACATATTCTCCATGCAGATGCAATTTAGTACTCTGTAATTCATGCATAATCTGAGAGACCTGATCTGTCCCCATCCACACACACACACAAACACAGCCAGCCGAGGGTTAAGAAAGTACTTGGCACGCACACAGGTCGTTATCTCAAACTTGGCAGCAATATAATCACCGTCTGCCAAGAGCTTTTACTGCAACAGATAACATAACATTACATACGCATTGCAAATAGTCCAGCAAAACAAAATCCCTTTCGGCAGCTTCAGACGTTGTTCAAGTGACTAGCCAAAGTTTGTTTTTGTTCGTCACGGGGTTTTACCAGCCACCACCCTCTCTTATATAGTCTCTGGGGTGTGATCCAGTGACTCAGTTCTAATCCCTACCACGCCTCCTTAACTGCTGCAACCGTTTATCATGCCTTCATTGGCGTGCGTCCAGGAATGACGGCTCTCCTTCGCTCTCATCCGAGACACCTGGCTCCTGGCTAATCTCCTCTCCCTCGGCCGGCACCTGAGACAGTGCCAGAGGGGAGGGGCCTGGAGAGGGAGGCCTGGCTGACTCCTCTTCCTCATGTTCGGAGCTTTCTTCCTCCAATGAGATAGGCTCAGAGGGCGGGGCCACAACAAGACCCATCTTTTTCCTCTTTGAAAAGTACAGGGGCAGCCATCCTTGACTTCGCTGTCTGGATAAATCCTCTGGCTAAGTTCTTGTCTATGAACTCCCAAAGTTCCTCCATTTCCCTTGGCATCAAGGAATACATCGGCTTTGGGTAATTTACTCCCTGGCTGTCAGTGTTCCAGAAAAACCCCAACTCCAAGTAAAGACGCGCAAGCAAACATTTTCCAAAGTTCTCTTTACTAGAATAGGCAAACTGCCGCATCTGGGAAAACCTGAATCTGAAAAGCCCAGGTTTTCCTTCAGTAAGTCAAAGCCCCCAAAACCATCCCCTTCCCCCCCCCAGTTGGTCACATGCTCCAATCAACATCCGCTCCATCTTGATACAGCCCCCTGACCACTCCTTTTCCAGATCCTGGATTGGCCTGACCTTGACCAACAGGAAGAATGCTATTATGTCTACTAACAACCCCTCTCCTTAATCCCCCCTCCTACTTTCCCACACATGAGAAGGTGGCAGCATTGGAGCTTCCAGCCTAATATGGTTTCCAAAGCTGACAGGCGTCCCCTCCCCCTGCAAAAAGAACCACCTCCTGAAAAATAAAGCAGACAAAACACAAAAGAAGGGGTTAACACCGTGCACCAGACTCCTCAACCCCCTCTCTTCCCCCCCCCCCGGGAGACCTTTTGTTTTCTCAGGAAATTTATCATGAAATTGTTTCAGAAGAACATCAGCATTTACATCCCAACTCTTCACCCAAGTAGCTTCAGCCAAAGGGTAACCTTTCCAATGTACCAAATATTGTAAGCGACCCCTGTAGAGTCTAGAGTTTAGGGTTTTCTTTACCACATAATGAGTCTCCTCTTGCACAACCAAAGGAGGGGGTGGAGCAGCTCCTCACATAGTCTTCCACATCAGCTTTCATCTCTGGCCACCAGAATTGTCTCCTAGTCAAATGTAGGGTTTTTAAAAATCCAAAGTGGCCCCCTAGTCGAGAATCATGACTCCTCTTTAGCACCAGGAGTCGCAGGCTGTGGGGCACATAAAGTTTACTCCCCTTCCATGCCAACCCGTCTTTTAGGGTTAGGTCTGCCTGGTTCTCCTTGAACCAGGAATCAGTCGAGAGTGCCTCTTTTAGCTCCGCTGTCAACTTGTCTTCGGGTAGGTTGGAACCCTGGCATGTTTATGCTCTGGTGCGGGCTTGGGCAGCTGGCATGAATTATCTCTTCCCGTTGGCTTTCAAACTGGGGCTTACGGGAGAGAGTGTCAGCTAAAAGGTTTTTACCCCCCGGGATGTATTTCAGATTAAAGTTAAAGCGTTTGAAATATTGAGCCCAACGAACCTGCTTGGGAGAAAGTTTCCTCGGGGTCTTCAGCACCTCAAGATTCTTGTGGTCAGTCCACACCTCAAAAGGCTCATTAACCCCCTCTAGGAAGTGTCTCCAGGATAGGAGAGCCCATTGCACCGCAAATGCCTCTTTCTCCCATACTGCCCATCTGTGCTCAGTGTCTGTTAACTTTCTCAATACATAAGCACATGGCATTAGATTGTTTTGGGCATTCCTTTGCAGTAGAACAGCAGCCACTGCCACATCACTTGCATCCACCTGAACCACGAAGGGCTTATTTGGGTCAGGATGCTGTAGGATCGGCTCCACTGCAAATAGGCGTTTCAACCATTCAAAGGATTTTTGACAGTTCATTGTCCAAGCTAGGGGCTGGCTAGGTTTTGGCTTGGTGGGAGACGGGCCGGTTTTTAGCAATTCTGTCAAAGGGAGTGCGACCTCAGTGAAGGAAGGGATGAATTGTCTGTAAAAGTTTGCAAACCCCAGGAAGCTTTGGAGTTGCTTATGGGTACGTGGGGGCTGCCAGTCCAGCAGTGCCCTCACCTTCCCTGGGTCCATTTCGATTCCCTGACTCGACACCCTGTATCCCAGGTAGTCCAAGGACTCCTGATGGAATTCACATTTGGACAACTTTGCATAAAGTTTGGCTGCTAGGAGCTTTTTCAGCACTTGTCTGACCAATTTGACATGTTCTTCCATATTTTCGTTGAATATAAAAATGTCATCAAGATAAACATATAGGTGTTCATGCAAAATTTCGTTGATCAGTTGCATGAAGATCGCGGGGGGCCCCTGGAGTCCAAAAGGCATGACCCGGAATTGGAAGCTGCCCAAGGGGCAGTTAAAAGCAGTCTTCCATTCGTCTCCCTCTTTTATGCGAACTTGGTAGTAGGCTTCTCTTAGATCTAGCTTGGTGAAAATCTTGCCTTTTGATACGTGGTTCAGCAAGTCCTTCATCAGTGGGAGTGGGTAGGTATTTTGTATGCAAAAGCTGTTCACGCCTCGAAAATCAATGCAAAATCTCAATGTACCATCTTTTTTTTCTTTAAACAGTACTGAGGCAGCCATCCTGGATTTCGCAGGCTTGATGAACCCTCTGGCTAGGTTGTTGTCAATGTACTTCCTCAACTCAATCATTTCAGCAGGCATCATGGAGTACATTCTGGCTTTTGGCAATTTGGCTCCCAGTTGTAATTCAATGGCTCAGTCCGTGGGCCAATGAGGGGAGGAGGTTACATTCTTCCTCACTGAAAGCTTTGGCTAAGTCTGCATACACCTTAGGAATCTGGTGTTCGCCTGGGGGCCCGTCTGAACAAACCACTGCTGTTTCTGGCCGCTGGCCATTATGGGTAGGTTGCTCTTTGGGGGAGGGGCAGGGCCAACCCCTATTCTGATTTTTCAGTATCCATCTTCCCATTTGATGGTGGGGGCCCATTTGTCCAGCCAAGCCAGGCCTCTGACGTTTTTGGGGTTACTATAAATCGTATAAGTTCATGATGTTTCCCCATCTCTAATTTAATCAGTTCAGTAATATGAGTGGCAGGGACACCCCCCCCAATTAACATTCCATCCACCTGGTGAAATTTAATTGGGTGCTTTAAGGGTTGTGAGAAATAAAGAAATTAGGGTTATTCCTGTAAAACAATATAGCCTAAGTTACGCCATTTTAAAATCATGTTAAGGTTTTATTTTACTCTGTATAACCTGATTATATAATTTAGCTGACAGTTTAAGGAGCATGAGAACGGGATGTGTGATTCCTGTGTTTTTAGAGGAAGTTGTGTTCTTGAGATTATTTTGGAGGAAGTTATGTTCAGGTCGGCTTGACCTCGTTAAGAAAGGGAAGTGCGCATATGCTGATATTACTTGTTATGCTGATATTACATGTATAAGCAATATTTTTAAGTGGGTATTTTTATATACTGGAGTTATGGGGACTTTCCATAATGGGAATACCATGTGTTTATCTGTTATATAAAGTCTGAAATTGTACTCAAGGGACATGCTTGTATCCTGTAAGGTGTAACCTGAAATTGTATAAAAGACGGCGAGAACGAATGGTAATTTGCTCTCTCACTTTGAGGGGGACCTTTGCAAAGAAATAATTAATAAATAGTATTCTTGTCTTATCTCTCAACTCTCTGTCAATTATTTTCTGGGTGACAGGCATTTCCTGTGTATCACAATTGGTGCCCGAACAAGGACTTGAGGACCTTTCGTCGGGTAAGCAAATAAATCTAAAAAGCGCGCTAAACACTGTTTTGGTGTTAAGGTTTGTTTTCTTGCCGGACGGGAGCAGCTTCTCTAACCAACCCTGGGACGGAGACTTGGAGATTAGGACAGGAGACAAGAGGAACGTTCCGGGGGACTGCACTGGGAGTGAGTATACTTTTTCTCTCTCTGGGGTTCTTATTAGGTGTGCTTAGTGTGTGTGTGAGTGTGACAGTATGGGGCTTTCTTGGAGTAAACGTAGTGAAAATACTAACAATGAAATACCCTCTATTCCTCCAATATCACCTTTAGGGGAGTTGTTAACTCAATGGACAGAGGATTGGTTGAAGGTTTATACTAAACAGTTGGATAAGGTGGCTATGATTAATTACTGTACAAGGGTGTGGCCGAAATTTATTTTGATAAAGCCTAATTACAGGTGGAGTAAGTTTGGGGAGTCTGACCCGTATTGGATCAATGCCTTGAAGAAGGTATTGGAAGGCAAGAAACTAATTTCTCAGTTGCCATATGTTGAACCGTGGTTTCATGTTCAATGGTTTGATCCGTTTCCCCCCAGGGATTCTAGAGTGTTGTATGGGAAGAGGAAGAAGAGAAAAGGTGGGATCCTTTGGTTATGCTACATGCCCACCTTTACCTCCTCCATATAACCCGAATGCTGCTGGGGCAGTGGGTGGCTTAGCTGAGGCAGCTGCTGCTGGGAGCAGTGGGGGAGTACCTTCAACAGCTCGGCGATATCAACAGATAAAGAGGGAGTCGGAGGAATTGCCAACACCGTAAGACCTCCTTCCCTCTCGTAGGATACGTCTACAAACTAAGAAAATGTTGCCTTTGAGGGAGATGCCAAATGGTTTAACTGGTGCAGGCCTCCCAGTGACAACGTTTGTAAATGTGCCTTTAACATCTTCAGATTTGAGAAATTACAAGAGTAATATGCCGTCTTTGCAAGCGGATCCAATTAAGTTGTCAGAATCATTGGATCTGTTCTTGGGGCCCAATTTGTATACGTATGCTGAGCTACAGCATATATTGGGTTACCTGTTCTCCCCCGAGGAGAGGTCACAAATACGGAAGGTGGCTATGGCCTATTGGGATAAGACCCAAGCCGGGGCTGCTCAACCGTGGCTGCAGAGACGAAGTTTCCATTAGCAGATCCTGGTTGGAATAATAACAATGCAGCTGACCGGGGGCAAATGGAGGACCTGAAGAGGATTATACTTCAGGGAGTTAAGACAGCTGTACCTCAAGGAAAGAATTTGACTAAAGCTTTTGAGGTGGAACAGCTGCGAGATGAAACACCCTCAGTGTTTCTGGAACGTATTAAGGACAATTTAAATAAGTATTCTGGTCTTTCTCCTGAAACGCCAGCTTATGAGTCCTTAATGAAAATGCAGTTTGTGACAAAGGCACAAGAAGAAAATACAAAGACATCAAGAAGAAAATACAAAAAATTGATGACTGGGCTGGGTCTGATATTACCGCCCTGTTGAAGGAGGCTCAAAAAGTGTATGTAAACAGAGATGAAGCAAAGACTAGGCAAAAGAGTCAGATGATGGTGTCAGTAATGAAGGCTGCAAATAAGCCAGCAGACAGGAAAGAAGTGATGGGGAGAGGAAGAAGTTTTGGAAAGAATCCGTCCACTGTATTGAAACAGCGGCCAGGGATAGGAAGAGGATTTCCACAGTTGAGAAGGCCTGGAATTAGTGGCCAGGAAAGTAGGAAATGTTTTGCGTGTGGCAAGGAGGGCATTTTGCCAGAAATTGTCCAGAGAAGAGGAGGTCCCAGAGGATGGAACCGCGCCTCTATACCCTTATGGGAGAAGAGGATGATTAGTGGGGTCAGGGGCTTTTGATAGAGGGATCCCACCAAGAGCCCTTGATAAAATTGTTAGTGGGACCAGAAGAAGAGGAATATGTGGGAGCAACTAGAACTTCTATTTGTAAAATACCTAATGGAGTGCATCAAACAGGTGCAACCATTAAGATAAGGGGTGTTCAAAGAATACCTTTTGAAGTGCCATTGTTGAATAATATGACTTTGGGTTGTGGAAAGCAAAAGATCTATTTAGATGTTATATTTGTACCAGAAGCTGGCATTAATTTGCTTGGAAGAGATGCGTTATCACTCCTAGGTTGTGAGTTAAAATTCTCTTGTAATGAATCTATAGTTAATGTGTTGACGGAAGAACAGGAAAGGAATATTGACCCTATTGTGTGGGAACAGGAAGGTAATAGGGGCGTTTTAGATATTCCCCCATTGAAAGTGACTTTGAAGGAAGGGACAGTTCCTGTGAAGGTGAAGCAGTATAATATTCCTATAGATTTGAGGAGAGAGTTAAAGCCAGTGATTGAGAAGTTGTTAGCAGATGGATTGATTGAACCTACTATGTCCCAATATAATTCACCTATATTACCTGTTAGGAAGCCTGATGGGTCTATCCGGGGTGATTGATCTAAGAAAATAAATTTATTGGTTGCCAATAGACATTCAATCGTGGGAAATCCTTATACGTTGTTGGGAGAATACCACATAGTCATAAATATTTTAGTGTGATAGATTTGAAGGATGCGTTTTGGACATGTCCTTTAGATGAAGAATCAAGAGATATTTTTGCTTTTGAATGGGCTGATCCAGATACTCATAGGAACCAGCAATATAGATGGTGTGTTTTGCCACAGGGATTTTCTGAAAGTCCGAATTTGTTTGGACAGATGTTGGAACAAGTGTTGGAAGGATTTTGTATTCCTTCTGGACTGCAGGTGTTACAATATGTAGATGATTTGTTGTTATCTGGAGAGAAAAAGGTTGAGGTAGAGAAAGGAACAAATGCATTGTTGAATTTTTTGGGGAGAAGTGGCTTGCGGGTGTCCAAAAGGAAACTTCAGTATGTGGAGTTAGAAGTTAAATACCTAGGTCACTTGATAAGCCAGGGAAGTAAACGGATAAATCCTGAGAGAGTAGAAGGAATAATAACTCAGCCTTTGCCGAAAACTAAGAAGGAAGTTAGGAAATTGCTTGGTTTAGTGGGCTATTGTAGATTGTGGATCGATGATTATACGGATAAGGTGCGGTTTTTGTATGATAAGTTAATAGAGGAGGAACCTTGGACAGTTGTGTGGAAGGATGATGATGAGTCTAAATTGAAGACATTGAAAAGATCTTTGATGCAGGCTCCTTTTGAGTTTACCAGATTTGAAGAAACCGTTTCATCTGTTTGTGGCAGTAGAAGATGGAATTGCAAAAGGGGTGCTTGCTCAAACTTGGGCAGGAAAGAAGAAACTTATAGCTTTTTTGTCAAAATTGATGGATCCTGTAGTACGAGGATGGCCGTTGTGTGTGCAGGCAGTGGCAGCAACTGCCTTATTGGTGGAGGAGAGTAGAAAATTGACATTTGGGGGTGCATTAGTTGTGAGTAGTCCACATCAGGTTAGAACTATCTTGATGCAGAAGGCGCATAGGTGGTTAACTAATGCAAGACTTTTGAAGTATGAAGTTATTTTATTGTCTCAAGAGAATTTAGTTCTTTCTACAGATAGAAATTTGAATCCGACAGAATTCTTGTCAGGAGAGAGACAGGAGTGGGATTCTATAGAGCATAACTGTGTGGAAGTAATTGATTTGCAAACCAAGGTTAGGGAAGATTTAGAGGATAGTCCATTAGAGGGCGGTATTAACTTATTTATTGATGGTTCTTCTCGAGTTAAGGGCGGAAAGACAGTAAATGGATATGCTGTTGTAAATGGGGATACTTCAGAGATTTTAGAAGCGGGGAAGTTACCATCTGAATGGTCGGCGCAAAACGTGTGAGGTTTTTGCTTTATTGCAAGCTCTGCATTTGTTGGCTAATAAAGTGGGAAATATTTATACAGATTCAAAATACGCCTATGGTATTTTAAATACTTTTGGAAAAATCTGGATGGAGAGGGGATTGATTTCCAGTAAGGGAAAGGAACTTAAACAAGTTGATCTTATAACTGCTGTTTTAAAGGCAGCTGAAGGTCCTACTAAGCTTGCTGTTATCCATGTGGAAGCTCATAAGAAAGGGACTTCAAAATTGATAGTGGGAAATAGGATGGCAGATGAAGCAGCTAAGGAAGCAGCTTTAGGGGAAGAAGTTATTATGATTTTAATTCCAGCTTTGACTGATGACGTGACGCCTGTATTTACTAATGACGAAGAACAACAAATGATAAATGAGGGTGTGCGTCAGGTGAATGGAAAATGGATAACTAAGGATGGGGTGCAAGTTTTGAATAAAGCAATGATGAGGAATGTGCTTGAACGTGTGCATGAGGGAACTCATTGGGGAACACAAGCTCTTATTGATTTTGTTAAACGTACATATGTGTGTAGGGGGATGTATACTATAGCTATGCAAATATTACGAAAGTGCATACATTGTGTAAGAATTAATAAAAAGATTATGAGGAAACAACTTATGGGAGGTAGAGAGTTGGCTGTCTGGCCTTTTCAAAGAATCCAAGTGGATTATACTGAAATGCCAGCGGTTGGAACTCTTAAATACTTGTTGGTTATAGTGGATCATTTGACAGGATGGGTTGAAGCTTTTCCTTGTGCTAGGGCAAATGCTCAAATGACTGTTAAAATTATATTGGAGCAATTGATACCACGTTATGGGTTAATTGAATCAATAGATAGTGATAGAGGTACACATTTTACGGCCCAGGTGGTAAAGCAAGTAATGAATCAATTGGGAATTGATTGGCAGCTTCATTTGAGTCATTTAGCTAGTTCCTCTGGACGTGTGGAAAGAGCTAATCAGACTATAAAATCTGCGTTAAAAAAATTAATGCTAGAATTGAAACTACCTTGGACGAAATGTTTGCCTTTAGCTCTATTGAGAATAAGAACAAGTCCGAGAAAGGATATAGGAATATCTCC